CTTCGCCGTAGGAGTGACCGCAGGGACGAGGTAAAGGGAGAGCTGATACTCACAGTCCCGTCCCACCACGCATGCCTCCGTTGCCCGCGATCCCCTCTGCTGCAGCCCTGGAGACCCACCGCCACTGCCAGAGTCCTGTCCTCAGGAACCAGACCACAGGGAATCCAAATCCGCGCCAGGTTCCCCAGAGCGGGCCATTCCTCTTATCTCGGTGTCTCTGCCACCCCCAGCCCCTCTGTACTGGTGGGCAGGAGCGTGCCGGCTCTGCCGAGATGTGGGAGCCACGTCTCTGCTGCCGGAGCTCAGTGAGTTGGTCGCCTGGCAGCCCCCAGCAGCAAGGCTTGCGCGAAGGTCCCTAGGCACCTTTACTGTTCAGCACGAAAACGTTTCAGTGTTTCGAAAGGGTGGCACATGTTTCCATAGCTGTTGGTAAAGCACATCGTCTGTCGGCTACTCTGGTTTTAAGAAAAAACAGCGTTTCTCAGGAGCAGTCTCTGGAGAATAATTCTGACACTAAAAACACAGAAGAGGCACGATCGCATGAGGAAGCAAACGCAAACTCAGGCGGCATTAAGGTTTTTTTTGCTCTATAAACGTTATCTGTTTCTTTTGTCAGATGTGAAATTCCATCTGTGCAATGTTTGGAAGGATTCCTGCAGTAAAAATGCCGCCTAAATGGGGTTCACCCAGGGGTAAGCAGGGCATATCTCAGATTCTCATGCCTCCGCAGTAACAACTTCATTAGAAAAAAAAAAAAAGAAACCCTTAATCTTCCAAGGAATGTGGGATTGGAGGCTTCTAAAGGCAACTCATTAAACCAATGCTGAGCTACTCATCAACCCAGTAATGAGGTATGAGCTTCATTATCACAGAGCTTGTTGAGTTTGCAAGGGCTCAGCTCCAGCTTGCAACCAGTTTGCCGGACACCGCAGGGTCATGCGATAGGACTGGGCGTCCTATGACAGCGCGAGCTGTGATGGCGATTACTGACAGGACATTCTGTGCTTCCGCAACCCCACTCTGAATTTCCACCAGTGCTGCCGACTTTGGGAGGGGTTGTTTTGCCTCGGCACTGGCACAGAGAGCCACGCGCCGCCTCCCCCAGGAACCCGCTCGTTGCAGACGAGCACTTGCAAGTGCTCTGCAGCAGGAGTGCTGAATGAAGCTAAGTGGGTTTGTGTGTCGGCACAGCGGGGAGGGCGAAAGGACACAGCGATCCCTGAAGGAGAGTTTGCTGGCTTTGAAACCCTTCTGGGTAGTTGTTGAAATAAAGGAGGTGCCATCAGCAGGGGATGAACACAGGATGGGGCCCGAGGCCAGCGTATCCCAGAGGAAGGGCTGAGGTCCCCACCTGCAAGGCCAGGGCCATGAACACCCAGGAGTCCAGTAGCCGCCTGCGGGAGGGTGGTGGGAGGCTGGCAGCAGAGGGGACCCCGGCCCAGTGCTGCTGGACATCATGCGCACATCACACTGGGGAAGCCTAGCCCTCACCTCAATAACTTCCTCGGATCCTGCCCCTTCCCCTTGGCCCCATCCCGCCTGCACCTGCAATGTCTCCCTCCTGGTCATTTCTCAGTATGATAAACTGACCTTTCACAGCCACGGGCAGGCACAAAATGGCTTTCACCAAAGCTGGCCACAGGAATGGGCTCTCCTCCAATGGGCAGAGTTGACTGAGCATCTCTCCATGCTGGGGCAGCAAGGGCTCCACTTTGGGAGGGACATGAGAAGACCCACCCTGTCCCAGCGGACCCCAGCTGCGGAACCCCCACAGTTACCTGAGCTCAAGATCCCCAAAGAGGTGGCTTTTGTGTCCACCGGGGGAGGCTGCAGGCTGCTGATAGCTGTGTCCCAGCCAAGGGGCAGGGGATGGGGGGCTCCTGTGGGGAGGGTGCATGCCCAGCCGGGGGGGGGAGA